TTATGTAAATATTGAATAGTACGGGACCTAAAACCGACCCCTGAGGCACTCCAGAGGTAACGAGCAAAGGTTCACTAAAACTGCGTCCTATCCGTACTCCTTGTGCTTTGTTGTGCAGGTAATTCTTAAAAAACTGAAGAAAGGGACCTCTAAAGCCAATGTTTTCTAATTTACTTAATAACAACTCGTGATCAATTGTATCAAACGCTTTTTTTAAATCTAAAAAAAGCGCTAAGATGATATAATTATTTTCTATTTTTTCGTTAATATAGTCAGTAAAATCTTCTACTAGAAGAGTTGTACTTTTTTGCTGTCGGAATTCATACTGACATGTATTCAGTAGGGAAACTGGTAAATTAGCTATGGGTCTGTAGTTGGACATCACCTTTTGATTACCCTTTTTGTATACTGGACGGACTAGATAAGCATGTCTGGAATTCTCCCTGTTTCTAAAATACCGTTTATTATGTCAAGCAGAATACTTTTTAGTTTTTCAAAGTTATAGAATATATCTCTTCCTCTAATCCGATCACATCCCTCTGGATTAGTGAGTGGCATTTTTTTTTTTTTATATCGCTGAGGTCTTGCTCAGTCTTGGGCGGCAAGTAGGCAGAGTTTGGTGAACTAGAGATACTATACGGAGCACGTGTAGTTTTCGGTGCTTGGTTTCGCAGATCCTGTATTTCCTTCACAAAGCTATGATTAAAGTTATTGCTTAAAAGGTCGAAGTCTGTTCCAAAACGCTTCCGTATGACCTCATCAACGCTGTCTTTTGAGGTTTTCTATACCACCACCACCACCACCAATGATTTTGTTCACTATGTCCCACGTTTTTTTTACATTTCCCTTTGACTGCTGGAAGTGGTTATTGTGGTATTTCCTCTTCGCTAGCCGTATTTTTGCAGTTACTTTATTTCTGATTTCCCTAAACTCCCTGCGTAATTGGGTATCGTCAGGGTTTTGTTTGCAACGACTCCACAATCTCTCTTTTGCGTAACACAATTCTAGTATTTCTTTATTTATCCAGTTATTTGCTGCTTTCCGTTGCCTTAATTTTATTTTCCTTTTGGAATCTCTGTATATGCGTCCAAATATATCCACCATCAGTTCGTAAATTGCAACGTGGTCATGTTCGAGTAATGAGTCCCAGTCATATTCACGAATAAGGCGGTCTATAATTTTTGAATCTAAGACATATCTAAAACCATCTCCATCACTATTGTATATGGTATCGGTACTCAACACTTTTATGGTTATGAAATAATAATCAGCGACTTTCTGTTTTATAACCCCAGATATCGTTGTCAAATTACTAATTCTGATAATAGCATGATTTATACAGGTTCTAGTTACTTTGTTTCCTAGGTACTCTTCTCTGGTGTAGTCACGAATCACATCGTGTAAACCATAAATAGCCTCCAACTTTGTACTTGCTGCGGTTCAGAACATCAATGTTCAGATCACCTGTGATTATTGCTTGGTCCTTGTTGTTATATCTTTTTAGTAAATTTTCGAACTCGTTGTAAAACTAATCCACATCCGCAATGGGTGGTCTGTATATGGCCACAACAAGAAACGAAAACTTATTTTTGCTCACAAACATAACTATAGTCTCAGCGTGGTCTAATGATACTTCAACTTGCCCTGCTATCCAAACCTTTTGTATATAGATAAGTATCCCTCCTCCTTTTCCATTTTCTCTGCATGCTGATACCTAGTGGAAACCCGGCAACTGATAAACACTTTCATCTGCTGTTTTTAGATGAGTTTCAGTAATTATAACTAAAATATCAAGACTGTTAAATCTTCTTTCCAGGTACACATTAAGTTGATCCCAGTTTTTTTAATGCTCCTTACGTTAATGTAAATTATGTTTAGTACCTATTTGGTTTTTTCTTCTTTCATCACACGCCTGGCGTATTTGTCCCAGTGAACAAAACTGTTAAAATAAGAACCTATGTCGCTGACATCTTCACTCATTTACCTCAATTTGTTCAGATATCTGCTTCAATTTCAATCCGGATCACCGCAGCGCCTTCTTTTTGTCTGACAAAGATCTGCCCATTCTTCACCCAGATAAACTTATACACGAACTCATCTCTGTGACGTCACGGCGCGGTGGTGGCGCGTCGGTCGCACTTCCGGCCTGGGGCTGTGGGCAGAAGTCCCCATGCCAGACGTGTATTCCTGCGTTGTTCTGAAAGGAACCAGACAAAAACCTGCCTTCTCGTCAAAACGCCGCGACTGGGGCCGTACCAAAAGTGTCGAGAAAGGTTTGAAGGTCAGTTTTCACGTGCTCGGTTCGCCCAAGAATCTGGATATGTGCCGTGAAAAGGGAAAAGCAGACGCCGTCGAACAACGATTGCTTGGGCGGGAAGCATTTTTGGTTGAATTCACGGATACTTGTGGTCATCAGATTTATTTCTTTTGTTCCAACATGAACGCCAGAAAGCTGTCAAGTTGTGCGGACCACCTGTGGACTAGGTTCAGTGCATCTTCAAGTTCAAACGGCCGCCTGATTGTTCGAATTGTCGTCTGCTCTTTCAAACGTTTCTGCTTGTCGTCTGCTCTTTTAGACGACGCCGGTCCGTAAACCAAATGTTGGCCCGGTGCTTGCGATAAGAAGTGAGTGCAGGCCTCAAAAGAATTAAATTTGAAGGTTGGTAAGCAGGCTCGGTGTAAACAGTAGATACAAGGAGATGTTGGTCACTGTTACCAGTGGCCAACACCGACTTGTTATGCCTAATTCAGTTGGTCCGATTCTGCTTGCAATTTTCAGTATCGTCGTCGACCATCTCAGCTACGGTTCACGCTTTTGCACCCCGAGCGGCGTCGCGACTGAAAATTCCGAGCGAAATCTTATCATGCGAATCAGGCTTTGGAGTACAATCTGCGGCGTCCATGCGGAATGAATCGCCACATGTCACATTATTCACGCGAAGTTTTGCGGCGTAGCGAGCCTCGGTAATTTCGCTGACGCCGCTCAAGTAGTCAGACATCGCCAGGAAGACGTAGAATCAACAATTCGAACGCGAAAAAGGGCAGGGGGACTCACACCGACGCCGACAACATCGCATTTCAATGGTTTGTTTATGGGCGACGGAGAGCTTCTTGCCCACTCCCCCATCGCGCATGGGCGGCGCCGGTGGCGTCCGCTAGGGGCGCTCCGGGCGCTCCGGTTTGGTGAATGGTGGCAGAAATCGAAAGAAAACTAGGTATTTTTTATTCACTGATGGCAAAGGGGGTTTCATAGCCTCACTTTCTTTGCATTGCGGAGTGAATATAGATTTCACATTTAAATATTCTAAGCTTAAATGGTAAAACAAAATGGCTAGGTGGCGTAAGCTTCCGCCCGATCCAAAGGGCTCAGCCGTATTCATCCATCCATCCATCCTTTGTTTGTAAACATGAGTTGGTGTATATACCGTTCCATTAGGGTCATAGCAGAGAGGGTAAAAGAGAAAAAAATGCACTCCCCTTCTCACCCCGCATGTCGTCCGCTCCGCCAAGTGGCCTGTAGCTACCGTGCGGCTGGCGTGCAAACTCTGTTTAAAATTGCGTCATTTTGGAACTTTCAAGCGCAGATGCGCAGATTTTGGTATGCCAGTTATCGTGTAATACTATGCTAGATAAAAAGACTCACAGGGTCCAATTGCGCTGTTACCTGCGTGCAAATAAAAAACAAAAATAGGGAAAACTGTGTCAGATTGGCCGGTCTCTGGCGAAAAGTAAATCCCGTTGCTGTACCTTTTTTTCTATACAAAAGTTCGTACTGATGTAGGCCTTTAGCGACCATGAGTGGAAGTCTGAAATAATACATAAAACGTGCTCTCCTGCCGCAATACAATCAGTAGTTGAGGGTAGTACTGCCGGCTGACTCAACTGCTATTTAAGTAACGGAAAAAAGATATGCTAGTTGATCATTTAGCAAAATAGAAGAATAGAGAGCTATAGGCTGATTGTGGAGTAGAAAAAACTATCCTAAGAACGCGAACCACTTCACAACGGCAGCCACGAGTGAGAGTTCGATGTTCGGTAGAGCCCGCCGATACAGCCCAAAGATGGAGTACGGCAACCTCCCGGTTTGTCGTCTGCTAGCGGAGTCGGGCGCGTGCCCTCTCTCTCGTTTTAGGTACCCCGCCGAACCCGCTGAACTTCCCGGATGTGTGGAAAGGGCGCTGCGGTCGAACAAAATGGTGCCGCCCAGAGAGCGTTAAATGGAATGGTCTGATTCTTTGCAACCCATAAGAGGTTCTTCGTAGTCGCCGTTAGATTTTCGTTTACGTATACACCGTCTCTTTTTAATGCCACTCGTTTTTTGATCCATAGGTCTCGTGTGTTCCTTTCCGTTTCGTTCGGTTACCTTTCGTGACGTCATTACCTCGTGAACAACAAGTTCGATGCTGTTTGGAATGGGCATGGTGGAAGCCTGAAATCATAGTGCTCTCAAAGCAACGCTGCCAACACCGTCAAAATTGAAGTTCTTACATTCCTCTTATTTCCGTCGATGAGAAATCCTTTGCTGACGTCATTGTCAGCATTCGGCCAATCGTGGCAGCCGACCACAGCGACGCTTTCGATCGCTCACGTCGCCAATATATATACTTTTTTTTTTTTTTTTTTTTACATTGTTTGCGCGCGCTTCGAGATAACAAAAGCGAAGAATTTGTGGAGCTTCCCACCTCTGCAAAAGCGGATCTAAAAAAGCATCCCCCTCCCTCTTACAATTACCCACTTTTTTTTTTTTTCAAGTGCAATTTTCACGCATGAATAGCCGATATCATTTTGGTGATCGGTTTGTTTTCAGTCCGTCGCCGTGTTGAAGCAACACCACCTAGACAGGTGGTGTTGGTTGAAGACGATTCATTGTGTCTGAGAAATGTTTTCCGTGCAACGGTGCAAGTTGGCTGTAGCTTGGTCGGTGTCATCCGCAGTTGCTCGACGCAAGCTGATGCTCGTTCTCGTCGATTGAATATGCTGTCCACTTCTACAAAGACAAGCTATAAACTCCGGATGGATAACCTTTCCTCGTAGGGTAAGTACACTTTTTTTTTTTTAATTATTTCTTGAAAATAGACTGTTTTATCGCAGCGGGGACGAAGTTGGGTCAAAATAGAGCAAGCATCCTGGGCAGCTACGTGATCATGCTAAAGGCGCAAACGAAAGACCGTTCTGCAATCGGCAAAGCGAAGAAAATGCTGACTTCGGCTTTCAGTAACTACGCTCAAATGTCCACAAAACGTCGTTCGATCAAGATGTGTTCGCGGAGCAGAGAACACTGACAGTGTCAAAGGACTGATCTGACTTCTCATCGAATCCAAGGGCAACGCCGGGCTTCGAGCGCATTAATTCCAAATATCGAGTCAAATAGCACTTTTAAAAATCCATCTCGAACGGAATGCTTATTTTACTCGGTTTACGGCATTAAGTCACCTCCGAGGCCGCTGTATTTTCCACGGCCTCGACGGAAGCCTGCGGAGCTTCAGGCCTGCTAAGCTTTAAAAATTGGGTTTTGTGCATGTTCATACAGCTTAGACCTTGGTCTGCCTCAACGGGCAACGAGTCTCTCAGCTGTAAATGAGACATTTTGCCAGCTCAGTACAACCCCTAGCCTGGGGTATTTAACGTGCATCACGCAGAACCCAGGATCCTGGGTTCTACAGCGCGAGCTTTCGCTCCACATGCTCCGAGTTGGTGTATGCGCTAGCCGGTACTCAACAGTGCCTACAGTTTGAATGTTTTCTTTTTTTTTCTTACCGCAAATTATGCGAGGGCATTCTTTCTTTTCCATCCTGTAGTATTCACGATTTCTTTAATTATTTGAAGCTCGCAATGAGCGTCGAGTGCCTCGTGATCCAGGGACCGAAGAAGAAAGTGATCATGGGGAACGGCGATCGCAAGTTGAGGGACGTTCACAATGCACTCCTACAATCGGACTTCAGAGGCCCTGTGACACCTACCCTGCTGGAACAGGTAAGCGCGACCATTTTCTACTAATATTTGGTGTTTGGGCGTTTTCATCGAGTCATCTAGTCCGAGGCTCTACGAAATGCCGTATGCGACAAGTATCGTAAGCAAGCAAGATTTTCTCGACGTTAAAGGGGCAGTGCAATGATTTTAACACTGAACGAATGTGCAGCTTGTATTTTTATATTGTTTACTTCGGCATAAGTAAGAGAAAAAGCGCCACCATACCCCAAAATACCTCTATTTTGCTGCGTAATCGTAAAATAAAAAACGCTTTTCTTCTCAACCTGCGGCCACATGGTGGCCAGAAATGGAACCTGTGGTGTGACGTCATTCGGAGTGGTTTTTGTAAGTGATAGTGTTAGACAATTGTAAGCTTGATTTAAAATTAAGTTTAAAAAATTTTGTTGTTTAGGCATGCAGAAACGCTTCAAAAGCCTAATATTGCCGCTAAAAGGATGTGAATTATTGGTGGCCGTGGCTTCATCCACGCGCGGGGACTTAGCCAAGTCGGGAGGAGATAAGGCTCCATCCACGCAAAAGGTCACGTGACTTATAATTTAAGGACATAATTTGTTTTTATTTACATATTATGCTTTCTTACAAGTAAATGTAGGATCTAAAAATAAAGAGGTTGCATTTTATTGTTGTTTTAAAGTTAATATATCACGTGACCTTACAAATTCTTAGACAATTTATCAATGTTTCACTGTTTTCTAACACTGATAGGAAATATCATGCGTCATAAAAATAGTATCCGTAGATGTCTTTATATTTATGTTGTCCAGGAGTCACACACACGTGTGGGCAGCGTGCGTGCCATCCGTGCGTGGGGGCGTGCAGCCTGCAGCCATGTGGTGTGGGCTTGGTTGGCTTGGCGCGGCTGCGGCCTCTGGTGCCTTCGCCCATGTGCACATCGCTGCTGAGGCGAGGCGGCGAGGCTTCGCCGTGTATGTGATTGACTTAATTCGTTTAAGGCGTTGTAGTGTCAGCTTATGTGCATCGAAGGGGACAAGTGCGAGCACACGCTTCGTATGTTCTTGACTTGCGCGCACGCTCGCTATCTCACAAAGATTGTGCGAGAAGGGAAAGCATGCATTAGACTCAATAATAACAAACCTATTAAGAGCATTTAATCGAGAAAACTGGGTAAAAGATTCCAGAAACAGTTCATTTCATGACAAATAAAACAGTAGCCGATGCACAGATGCCACTCATCCACGAGACCACCGATGAACACGAAGCCCTTCTTGCGGCAGAACTCCTGCAGGAGCCAGTTCACTTCTTTGTGCCGATCATTCTACGCCTGGATCACTGCACTCTGCCTACGCTGACACTCCAACGAAAAGAACCTGTTCTCCCAACTCGGACGAAAAAGCGATCTGCGTCGCCGGATTGCGTTCCAAGATCTGAGCGGCCAGCCGACGGTACTTGTCAACGTACGCGCAGGCACAAACGCTGGTGTTGTTTGTGCCAAAATCGAGCAGGGCGTCAGACACTTCGAGAAGCAAAGCCTTGATCCTAGTGTTACTGAACACCCGCACTTCGACAGCCACCCGGTTATTCGATGTGAAATACTGGGACAAGTATTTCACCATCGAATCCCCGGCAACCAAAACTGGAGGCATATCAGAAGCGCGACTGTGCTAATACACAAAGTTTTCTTGACCAAAAAAACAATAAAAAAAAAAAACTTTAGATAAACCCGCTTGGGGATTGGGGAAGACCAGGCAAGAACAGCAGTCCCTTTCACGGCAGGAACGCAAGGAGCAATGGCCACCGAGCACAAGGCAAAACAATGGGAGACAAGACCGTAGACCGTAGGTTGATTGCTGCGTGGACTGAGAGGAGACGGAAAAAGAACTGCTTCCGTCCATGCAAAAAAGTGACGCGGGCGCCGGAAGTGACGTAGTGCGTAGATGGAGCCTTATCTCCTCCCGACATGGCTACATCCCCGCGCGTGGATGTAGACACTCCCAATAATAAAACACGGAGAAATTGTGCATCGAGGTTTTGTCGAATGCGGCTAGGTACTCGGAGGTACTAGAGCCACTCTATATGGCAGCGTAGCTAGCGTAGCTGCCAGAGTACCGACACGACGCAAAATGATCTAGATGCACGACGTCAGAAGCGCTAATAGTGATCTCCATTTTGGGCCTGGGAGGCTGCCATGGTAACGGTGCTTCTAGCGACGCCGGGCGGCAACCTTTGTAGTCTAGTTGATATCTCCATTCGTTCATTGAAAAGCGGTATAAGACGCTTGGCATCGCGGTACGGCAAGAACCTCTGGAGGAACGGTGCCTGTTTTTTCTGAAAAGTGAGACAATTTGCACTCAGGGACTGTCGGGCGACGAGAGCTGCTATGGTATCGTACGTGCACGGACAAGGCGAGTGGTTTTCGGCGCCGCCGGGATGGCGGCCGCTTCGTGGGACGAACGTACCGTCCTAGTACTTTCGGACTTCGCTCCGATGGAACAAAATCCGATTACGCCGGCCGCGACAGGACGATTGGCTCGGAACATGACTGCTGCTCGACTGCCCAATAGTGAGCGAGTATATATGTTTTGCATCATACTTCTTCAAGACCCGATCATCCCTTCAAGATGAGATTTTCTCACCGACTGGTGAGGAGCGACGTCGACGGGGTTCAACCGTTCAACCAAGAAGGACGGCATGGTGGTCTCTAGGGTATTGTTGACGCCATCAAAAGAGACGGACGCCGGATATGAGGTGTTCTTGCCGACAGGCCAAACGGTCGCTCGGAAGTTTACCGGCATTCAAAAGTCAATATTTTTATCTGGTGTAGCACACATATCCGTGTTAAAGGGGCCACGAAATTATTTTTAAACTTCTTCCTTACCTGTAATCCTCAAATCAGAAGAGAACTGTGAAATCACGCAGTCGTGACACCGGTGCAATGACCCCAAGCTTTCACCGTGCTTTTTAAGCACACCGTAGAACTTGGCATTCGCAAGTAATGATAAGTTCCGTCAGGGCACTCATTCGCCTCAAATATCCATGGACGAATTGATTGCTGACGAGCGCACGCAGTTTTCGTGTCCAATGCGTGAGTTGGCGTCGGCTGACGTCATTTTGGCCTATGTAGGCATTGTAAAGAGGATATTTAGAACCATACACACATGATGATAACGTCATAGCACACTGACATTAAGGAGCAAAAAACGGGCCCAGCTACAGAAAATGAATATTACACTCGTAAGAAATAAATACGTCTGTAACTTGTTAATTACAAAGACGAACACACCTCTGGACATTTAAGTTTAATAGTATGTGTTGATGCATTGTCATATAGCAGGACATTTCATATACGTCACTTGAGCAAACGCCAGCTTTTCACTTGAAAAACAAACCAAAAAACGCTGCGATCAAATGGAAGCTATTGCAACGAAAGCAAGTTATATCGAAATCTTCAGAACTGCCAATTCGTAGAATTGGAAATTAGTAAAAAAGGTTAAAGATTGCAGGAGCTTCCTCGCTAAAACTGCTGATTATTCGGTGACCCAGGGCTGAAACAATTTCCCCTAGGCCCTACACGCGCCGTATACCTTTCGTTATGATTCTCAAAAATGCAGACTTTCAAACGAAGCTAGAAAAAAGCGAAAATTTTATCCTAAAAGCTATGTGGAGCTCAAGTTCGTCTGCTTCTTTTTGCAGGAGTTGTGGTGACGTCAGAACGCCGAGATCTGAGTGGCTCCGATTGAAGGAGAGTGGGTAGACCTGAAAGCAAGCTGCCTTGAGGTCTACCCACTATTTATTCAGAACCAGTCAGAGCTCGGCATTCTGACGTCACCACAACCCCTACTAAAAGAAGCAGACCAACTTGCGTTACGCATATCGTAAAATCTTTGATTAGTATACTTGGGAGTTGTGTGAATATTTATACAGCGTGTACTTGGTCAGCCATTTCAAAGTTGCGACGAGTCACTCGCTCTAGATGAGCAATTTAGCCAATGCAGTATAGACCTTTGTCCGGGAGTTCTCTTTTTAGCCTCGACCGCAAGGAGCAAAAGCGAACAATAATCTCGAACCCAGACGCTCACGGGGAGGGGGGGGGGCTGCGTCGGCCTGCGCCGCCGCTTCCCGTTGAGGGCTTCTTCGCTGCTGGGCCGACTGCCGTTTCGCCGGCATCGGTCCTGTTTACGGCGGTATGTGAGTATAGTGCCTGTAATGGTGAGAACCGTGTGTCCATACGCCACTTTGGCGCTGTTGGTTTCCATCTAGCCGAACCAGAAAACATCTCGCGACGAGTTGACCGCGCCGCGAGTGACGAAGAAGCAAACATGGCGACGGTTTCTGCGATTGCTTTGGTGGCTCCGGTGTTGAGTGTCTTCAACGTCCTCGTGAGAAGGTTCCCCTGTCCTTCGAAGTTATTGCAAGCACCACGAAAGATGTGGAATCATCGTCTCAACTACAAATAAGCAGGCCTTCACGAGCAACAACGGTGCCGAGCAGGCGCTCGGCACAGTTGTGTCAGGCTCACGCAGCCAGCGGCACAGTTGTGTTGGTTCTGTCGTCAGCTGTTCAACAACGCCGAGGTATTTCCATTTGAGTAATGCTAGATGCACTCCCGAGTGCAGCTCGGCCGGAAATTGCTATATGCACTACATTTGCCTCGTATAAAATGAATGATCACAACGAGTTTTCCAACCGGTGGCATAGCGTAGGGGATAGCGTTGATGATGAAAATAATCCCTGGAGAAGGGGAACAAGAGGGACAAGGGACAAACATAAATCTCGAAACACAGCTAGGTGACTAGCTGTGTTGTCCAGCTCGCTTGTTCCTTTGCATTTAATTGCATTATAAGGGATAGCGTGTCCGCTTCGTACGCAAATGGACGCAGGTTCGAATCGCGGTGATCCTACCTTTTTTTTTTCTTTTTCTTTTTTTCTTGAACGTTGTTTTGACGAGGCATTTGGCGATATTTTTATTTCTTTTTTGCGATGAACACTAAAAAAAAACAAAAAAACACCGAATGTTGTCGACGAAACTTCGCAAACTTCGCAGGTCGGGGACAGCGGGGCTTGGGTTGCCGGCTGGACGCCGCGAAGCGGCGTGTACTGGTTAACTTTTCTAATTAGCAGCCGCATACTGTCGCCGCGAAGCGGCGTGAACGCAGGAGGGGGGCTGGGTTAACGAGCTCCCCAGGGATACACGCGATGTTCGAAAAAGGGTGGCCCGAACGGCATGAGCTCTCAGCGTAGTGCATATAGCAATTTCCGTCCAAAGTGCACTCCGTAGTGCATATAGCCTTGCTCTTTTCATTTATCATTTGGAATGGCTTCAAGAGTGGGAAATTAATCTATTTCGCGGATTGTTAACGCCGAGGCGAGTGCCCTCCGTTGCAGTGCCGTCGTCGCGCAAAATGCAGAGAAAACCGGGTGGCGATGGCGGCGGTGCTCTTTGATCTTGCGCCGACGGGTTCATGAAGTTCGGAGTAAACGTACGTACGTGCGTCTGCTGGATCGGTGTTTTGTACTTCCTCAAAACTTTTTCTCACGCGCATTTTCCTTGTGAAGCTCAGTAGCTCATTACACCTCATTGTTGACTGCGCTCATTTGACTACGACGGACGAGCCTGCGTGATGTGAATTTCACTGCCTAAGATCGTTGGTGTGCTGTAACGAGGGCTAATAAAATATCACCGCGAACTTCTGAACAAACGAGTCGAAGTTTCGTCTGCTATCATAGCTGATCGCCTGTCACAATATTAATCAGTAGCGTTCCTAGACTCCGCCCCCACAGGCACCGTGCTTCGTTGCCCGATAGCAAGTGTCTCCTGGTACCTCGTAGAATTCCAGCTCACACTTCAAGTAAGTACCATCCTTTAGAACTGGCAATTAATAGTTTC